GGGGGAAGAGCAGAGGGGCAGGCCGGCTCTGCTGGCCGGGCCCAGGCCAGCTGCTTACCGCAGTGGCTTGCGCTCGATGCACACCTTCTCAAAGACGTCCTTGAGGAAGGAGGGGGGGCTTTCCTGCACCATGTGATGGACCCGCAGCCGCGACTTCAGGTACTCCAGGAAGCGCTTCATGAAGCCCACAAAGTGCTCGGCTGTCCGGATGTTCCCAGGCACGGCCTCTGCAAGGGGTAGAGGCTCACCCTGAGTCACAGCCTGCCCCTGCCCACACCCCACCCACAAGGGGGCAAGACCAGGGTGAACATGCCACTGCTGCAGCCCACCCCTCCCCAGGCCCCTGTCCAAGGGGGCACAGATGCCCACTGTGCTCTCAACTGCAGGGCCTGCACCAGTGGCCAGCGATCAGGGCTCAGGCTCCATGGTTCCAAGGAGATCAGAAGTGGGGGCAGGGAGAGGGCTGAGAAACACCGGCTCATCTCATGTACAGCACCAGGGGGCCCAGGAGAACAGTCTCCGAGTCAACAGCAGCCCAGGCTGCAGTGGAACTGATGCCGTGGGGGGAAGGCCCTGTGTCCCTCCCCACCCGCCCCCAGTGCCCTCAAGGTCAGCCAGTCCCCCTGCCCTGGAGCTGGATCGGATCCAGCTACACCAGTATCCCATACCCCAGCCAGCCAGTTCCGTTTGTTCTAGCTGCACTGGGAGGCACTGGTCCCCAGCAATGCCACCTTCCCGCCACCAGCTAGCAGGGCCCACCTTGGAGAATCTCGTCGGGCAACACCGGATTGGCCAGGTAGATGTCCGTTTCCCGGGCAACGTTGGCCTCTCTCAGTCCCTCTACCAGCCGCCTGTATTCCTCCTTCAGCTTCTGGGCATCCGTCTCCTTAATCCTGAAAGGGGACCAGCGCCCGTGAGCCCAGGTGGGCGCGGGGAGGGCAGGGAGGGGGCGCGGGGAGGGCACTCACTTCTGGATGGTGGCCTGTAGCGTGGCCACATTGGCCTGGCAGCGATCCAGCGTCCGGCGCGTGATGTTCACCCCCATGGAGTCGATGCACACGTTGTCTGCAGGAACAGGGCACCTGGTCTCCAGGGGAACCCAGCAGTCGGGTGGGCAGGGGGCCTTGGGGAGGGACTAAACCCCAGGCAGGAGTGGGGAGAAGACTCTGACTCCCCTGACAGGGAACCAGGCTGGGCAGACGCCCCACAGGCGGAGTGAAAGGACAGGTCAGTTCTGCCAGTGGGAGCCAGGAACAAACAGGGACGGGGGGCAGGGACTGGCCTTTACATGCAGGCCCCCCTGGCCCAGAGCAGGCAGTAGTTGAGGACAACAGCCATGACAGGCTGGGGCCCAGGGACACCTCAGCACGGGGCTTGGGGCAGTCCCACTGGCTCGGGCAAGAGCAGTGTCCTGTCCCGAGTGACAGCCGCAGGGCAGGAGCAAAGAGCCACAACAGGACACGAGGGACTTGGCAGAGGAGGCAGGGATGCCCTGAACCAGGAAACGTTCCTACGCCGGAGAGCGGACACCGGGGCACTGGATCCAACCGGACCAACACAGGCACCAGGTTGCACAGCCCCGAGCAGGGAGGGGGCAGCCAGAAGCGATTAGGCACCTGGTTAGCACAGAGGGGTTGACGAAGTGGAGGTAGATGGGAAGGGATCCGAGCCCTCCCACTCCCCTGGGAGCCCAAGGGGCGTGACAGGGAATGGGAGCAATTCCACGCCCAGCCATCTGGAGAGACATCCGTACCCGGATCAGGCGGGGAGTCGTTCCCCAGGGGGCTGGTGCAGGGATCGGCCGCCCAGCACAGTCATAACCAGTCGGGACAGCGTGCCAGCCAGCCGGGCATGGGGCAGCCCCACAGCACCAGCGAAAGGGGCTCAGCCGCCCCCACCAGGGGCCCTTAGTACTGAATGGCAGACAGGGACCTGGCACACATGGCAGGCAGGCCCCCCCCAGGGCACCTGTCCGGCCCCTGCGAAGGCTCAGCCATCCCCCATTACCAATGTTATGAGCTTCGTCAAATACGACGACGGATTTCTTGGCCAGCTCCTTGGACACCAGGTCTGCGATCTTGGGGTCCAGCAGGTAGTGGTAACTGTACACAACAATGTTGGCGTGGAGGATCTGACCAAAGGAAGGAAATGGTTAATGCCCAGAACACACACACTCATACCCTGCCGGGGGCCCAGACACAGGCAGCCCCCGGGCTGGCATACCACCTCCATGGCGAGCCCTGGAGGGCCACAGGCCAGCAGCCCCTGGGCGAGAGGGAGGCTCCGTGCCCGGCAGCAGGGCTGTACACAGCAGCAGTGGGGACGGGCTGGCCTCGGCACAGCGGGCAGCCGCAAGGCACTCGACAGCCCTGTCGCCAAGGCAGGCAGCTCTGGGTGGGATGGGCTGAGGCTGCTCTCGCTGCCTAGGCCACTGAGCGAAGGGAATGCCCGGAGCCCCCTGGGGGGAAGCTCAGGGAGGAGGCTGTCGCCACCTGCTTTGCCCTGGGGGCTCGCCCAGCCCAGGCCTGGACCCGCTCAGACTCCTCAGGAACACATGGCCCAGGGGGACCAGCGCCTGCCTCAGCTTCAGCCTCTGCCCAACCCAAGTGCCCATGGGCAGCGTGCCTGGGCCAAGCCCCCAAAGTCTGCCATGGGCCTGATTTGGATCTCACTCGCCCTGGGGCAGACCCACTCCAGTCCATGGGTCAGTGCCAGCGTTGGAGCAGAACTGGGCCCAGCATGGGAGTATCCAGCCTGGGTCACAGCCAGTGGGGCAGAGGAGGCCAGAGCCACCGGGGCTGGAGGACAGGCCGGCATTGTCCTCAGCAGGGGGGAGTCACCCACCCCAGGAGCACAACCGCACCCAGCATCACAGCTCCTTCCCCGGGACAGGCGGTGCTGGACTGGGCTCCCAGCTGGGCCACCCCGCGCCCTGCTGCCCGCCCGGGGAGGGGGGTTTGCTCTCCGGGTTCAGTGAGCCCCCCAGCGTTGGGCCCAGCAGGGCACGATGGCCTGTCACATACCGAGTAGCGGGCGAGGAAGTAGGGGCACCAGCCCTTCTGCCGACAGTACCCTTTGAGGTCATCCAGGTTGTAGACGCCAAAGGGGATGGGCACCTGCCGCCCATGGGCATCGAACTCCTGTGGGGGGTGGGGGGGAGACACAGCACACTGCACATCAGGGCCTAGCGCCACCCAGGCTCATGTCCCTCCCTCTGCTGCTCCGGGCCTTGGGCCAGCCCAGCTGCTCCAGCTCAACTCCTCAGCCCCTTCACGCTACCGTCCCTGCTGCCCAGCTCCCTGCCCATTAACCCTTCCGAGTGGGCCACGGGGACACCTCCCAGCAGTGTGAATGGCAAGAGCCGGCAGCCGGGGCAGCAGAGCGGGTCTCCTCTTCGCCAGTGTCCTGGGCTGGCCGATGGGGCCGGGAGCTTCCCCCGGGGAGGGCAGACCTCTTGGTGCCACCTGGCAGAGGGCATTCAGGGTGCAGAGGGGTTTACAGGGATCCCCTGGGTATGATGTCTACATCATTCTGCGCCAACGGGTGGCATGTGCGGTCTCTAGTGAGAGCCCCTAGCCGGCTGGTCACAGGACAGCGTCTGAGGTGGTGGCTATCAGTATCGTCTTCAGGCCTGTGAGTTACGACCAGGAGGCGATGCACTGGTTCAGCTCGGGCAGGGGATACTGGCCGTGTCTCTCCTGGGTAGCGTGTGTCTTACAGTGAGAGTCCACTGGCATAGGAAGCAACCAGCTAACCAAGACTGCAAAGTTGCCACCACACCACACGAGCTCCGGAACGCAGCAGGCGGCGCCCTGCTTACGCCTAAGATCAAAGACCAAGGCCGGCGTGCCTGGGGAACACAGAGACACACCTGGGATCCTCCCCCCCCCCCGGGCCCAGGCAGGTTTGTCTTATGAATGCAGGGTCATGGCCGGCCTGGCTGGGAAACGCTGGGAGAAAACCCGGGCGCGAGACCCCCTCAGACAGGCGAGGGGCTGGTGAGTTACGTCTGGGATCTGGAAGGCAGGTTAGGATTTTGACCCGTAACCATGTTTCCAATACTTCTCCCTCAAACCTTTGCTCTTTGTCCCATGAGCTTCGCCTGGTTCTCGGTACAAACGAACGGAAGGGCTGTGAGCTGGGCTGGGACTGGGGAGCCGGGCTGGGCGCTTTGGGCCAGCGGATCTGTGAATGCTGCATGCGGGCGCTGGGCGGCTGGCGTGTGCCTATTGCTAACCCGCAGAGGGACGGCGGAGCTGAGCCCGGCTGGCACAGACAAGGCTCCCGCGTGCGCCGGCAGATGGCAGCGAGGTGCCTCACAGCCTGGGGTACCACTGGGAAGCATCCCAGTAGCCCTTCGGTTCTAGTGACAGTGCTCAGCTGGCGCGTCAAACCCCTGCCCTGCCACCTCCCGGGAGGGGAAGGCTGGCCCCATGGGCTGGGACGGGCTGCGAGCTGGGCTGGAACCGGGAGGGGAAGGCTGGCCCCATGGGCCGGGAGGGGCTGCTAGCTCGGCTGGGACCGGGAGGGGAAGGCTGGCCCCATGGGTCGGGAGGGGCTGCGAGCTGGGCTGGGATCGGAGGGGAAGGCTGGCCCCATGGGCTGGGACCGGGAGGGGAAGGCTGGCCCCATGGGCCGGGAGGAGCTGACCCTTGCCCAGGAGCCCTGCTACCTCGAAGAAGCGGCACGAGGGGATGGCGCTGTCCCACTGCTGCTGCGCCCGCACGTACGACGCCGTCAGGCTCAGACACTTGCTGTCCACCTCCTTCCCGAACCGCAGCGAGCTCACCTACAACGAGCAACTGTCAGGCCGGGCAAAGAGCCAAGAGCGCCTGGCCACGGAGCCCTCAGTTCTGGAGAGCACCATGTGTAACGCACGGGGGGGGCTGTCTCCCCTCCCCTGCCTCATCTGCCAATGCCCCTCACTCCCGACCTGCAGCCCCCCGGCTAGCCCAGCCCTGGGCTCCATCCCCACGGCTCTGTCTGTGCCCCTTACTCCCGACCTGCAGCCCCCCT